TCCTCGAAACAACTGTTAAGGAAGATATTATTGAAAACATTAATAACCATATTGAATCACTTAACAGTAAAATGGAATTAGATTACACTACGGCTAAAATTGATGATGTTCAAACCAAATTGTTTGAAACTTTAAAAGTGATTTCATCTAAAATTGGGGAATTTCAATGTTTCAATCAGTATTTCAAACGGTCACATGATGAACACAAGAATAGATATTACAAACCATTTACTAAAAATACAAAGATAATTGAAACCCAGACAGAAAGTGAATTCTACATGGAATCATTCTGCAGTTTTACCAAAAGTATATATAAAATATGTTTTGAAATTACTATACTTAATAATAAAGGAGCCAGTTCAGAGAAGAATAGTTCTCTTAAATTGTACACTGAAGTATTGAATGACTTTCGGGAAATCAAAGAATTTTTATTTAGATTAATTCGGAAAATGGGGACAAAAAATTTGGAGCTTCTGAAAACTGCAAGTAATATAATCATTATTTTGGAAAACCGGAATAACTATTTTCGCGATATTTCTAGTAATATAAATCGACTAGCGCATATTGTTATGAATGAATTAGATAGGTATGGAATTAAATACTGTAAACCAGGCAAATATAATTTTTTGCACATTAACAATATATATTATAGTGAATTCGGAAATAAAAACATCATCACTAGAGATATAAATCAGTTTTTGGCTGATCTACCGGAAACTAAATATAATTATAATCATTTTAATTTATCGTTCTTGTATGATAAATATGTGAAAGACTCTGTTGTCTTCCCTTATTATAAGGATCTGATAATGGTGTACTGGAAAGGAGAAAGGATAAATATTGAAAAATTTAGCATCATCGAGTTATCGTACATATTAAACCCTGACTTATTATATGCATTTTTTGATATTTACTTCAAATATTATGTTGCTGCGTATTTGTACGAAATAAGACATATGAGTAGTTTTATAGAAAATAATAGCTATAAAAGTGAAAACATTACAACAATAGTTTTAGAAGAAGAAGCATTTCCAGAAGATCTGAGATCATTTATAGTTAAATTAAAAGACTTGGAAAAATTATTGGTTACAATTAAAGAAGATGAACATAAAGTTAAGTTGGTTTCTAAAGTTGACAAACTGTTACAAAGTATTGAATTACAGTTTGATGAGTTTGGTTTTGATTTTGTTTATAAAAGTAAACAAAATGGATCTTATACACACAAAAACTTAAACCTAATATCCTCAGAAATATCAACTAAAGTAAAAGAGTTTAATATTTGTTATTATTTATTAATTAACCCAAAGCCACAAGAGATTGTAGAAGACAGTACGTGATCGGCGATCGCTCGTTTTCAAACCCTTTAATATCGATGTGTTTTTAAGTATCTTGAAATTACCGCAAATACAAAATTTCGTACATACCTACATTTATCTATTTATATTATATTTGATTCAAAATACTTTGGGTGTAAGTATTATACGATATGTGTGTATGATTATAGTAATAGTATAATGATATAATAACTTATCACATAATTTTTTTTTTAGCAATTTTACTATTAGGTACCTAATATACATATGTATCATAGTTTTAGTTGATAGTAAATATTGTTAAATTGCACAAACTATTAAAATTATTTAGGGACAGTGACTATCAAAAGATACTATAACCTTTTATGAAAGTTTATTGCCAGATTCTACAGTATTTAATGAAGAGTTCTCCACATGGAAATTAAAATGGCTAAAAAATAACATTGAAAAAAAACCTTCAAATGCAGTAGAGTCATTATTAGAATGTGATGAAAGATTTTTCCCAAATATAAGAAAACTGTTGGAAATATTAGCAACTTTACCCGTATCTACGGTAACCGCAGAAAGGACATTTTCTACTTTACGGCGTATCAAAACATATTTGCGCAACACAACTGGCAAAGATCGGTTAACTGGGTTAGCTCTTCTTGCAATTCAAAAAGAAATTAACGTTGATCCTAATGAAGTGGTGAGAAGGTTCGCTTTAATACCTCGAAGACAAGGATTCATTCTATGATTTTTTTTATATTATCTAATATATATGACGAGTGACGACAAATTATTCAAAATTTATTTTTATGTATTATAAATTATTCTTATTTTTTTTTTCATATATGATTCATTTTTTTATATCTAATATATATGACAAGTGACGACAAATTATTATTATTTATTTTAATGTATTATAAATTATTATTATTATTTTTTTTTTAATATTACTATTGAATAATATGACACTATATAGCGAATTAATATCTAATAAAATAAATACACTAAAATACTTCAAATAGGTACGTTATAAAAATGTTGACCCCCCCCCCCCCGAAAAATATTTCTAGGCACGCCCCTGAACTAGGGAAAATAATATTCGAAAATATTCACGTCGTCGTTAACGAAAACATCCAATCGTCGTCGATAACGAAAAGGGAGATAAGCGAGCGAAATAGCGAACGCGCGGGAAGTACTATGATTGGTCGTCATGGAAGAAACGCGGAGTGCCGTCAGCGTTCGTTTATAATCTTTGTTACAATTATATTATGTCAAAACTATTGGATTTACACACGTCTAGTGTTTTATTTACGTAATTTCGCAGTAAAAGAAGTTAAGTAATGTAAAAAAACTGGAAATTTGAATCCAATTTAGTGCGACTTGAAAATAATTTTTTTTTCGTCTCGATGGTAATTTGTAATTTAGTAAAAATTTAAATGTTTATATATTTTCTTTCATGTATACCAACAGTTTCTTCTAACTAAATAAACGTGAAACTACTTATATATTATATACTTTGAAACGGCTAATCTCAGAAACTACGAGACCGATTTGGCTGGCTGATTCTTGTTTTATTGTGTTCGAAATTGTTAGGACAAGGTTAGTATGAAAAACAATATTTTAGAACAATACACCGGAAAAGCAGAAAATCTGAAAGCCAAAAATACAACAGGTGTTTATTGTAAGGGTGCTATTGGTTATAGTTGAATATAATTTTAGACCTGTATATTATACTTGATCAAAACCATATTATAACTTAGTAAAAATGGTATTCCTAACGCTAAATTTTCGACCGTTGTCCCGGGAACCTACACATGCACATCATAAACAAATTTAAATATTTGTTATTAAGTGCGCACCTCGATGCGCATTTAACAGGTGGATTGCCTACCTGACAATATACTGACCGCATAATCACAAGCGTCTCTCACGAGAAACGCCGGCGGGATGGCTATTTAATATAATATAATCGAATGTGTCCTGACTGACTGACTGATCCTAAAATAATGATAGTTCGAGGCTTGCCATTTTCATGGTACCTATTATATATTTATATTATATTAATCTCATAAGCCTAAGATATTTTTTGGCAAGATATTATTGACGGTAATAGGGAGGTGCAGTATGGTGATACACAAATATTTTACACTCGGGTGAAGCTGCATGGTAATTCAGCTAGTAAAATATAAAATATAAACACCTATAATAGGTACTCGTATGACGAATATAATATGAGGGGTTGTTAATTATTATTGATTAAAAATTACCTAATGTAATCAGAAATATAGATGTGTAAAAATCATATAAAAGTCGAAGTTTTAAACACTTTACGAATCTCAAGGAATATGTGCAGTGCAAACTGCAAAATATTGTGCCGATTGGATAAGTGGTTCCAGCGATTAGAGGAGACTAACAAAGTAAGTACAATCATCTATATCAGGGATGGCGAACCTTTTGGTAACTGCGTGTCAAATCAAAATGTTTGGTTTGATTTTATTTGCCTCGCGTGTCAGACCTTTTTTTTGCTTAAAAAATAATTAATTAAACATATAAACATGATTTTATTTGTTGTTAGGTGTATAAAATATTTAAACTTTACAGCATTTTCTATTTAGGTACTATTGCATATTAATATAACTTGACAGCATTTATACTATTTACTATTTATAAAGTTACATGTACATATTAATATATCTTTACAGCATTAATTTACTATTTACTATTACATATTAATAATAAACACATATTTTTTTTTAATTACAAAAATAAGTTTTTAATGAGAAATTTGTTGCTGCATATTTCCAGCTAACGAATCAATCCTGGGATTATAATTTGTAGATTTTAATTGAATACATGCTGCATTGATATCTGTTCCAAGACGATTTCTCAATGTGGATTTGATAAAATTCATGGAGGAAAATAGCTGCTCACATGTATATGTAGAACCAAACATATTCAATAATGAAAGTGCTAATTTTTTTCATGGATGTAAATGAATTTGGTAGACTTTTCCACTCAATAAGAATTAGGTTTTCGGTTTTAATACTGCTATCAATTTCACAATAATATTTTTCCCGTTCGCTGTTTAAATTAATAAATTTATTTTAATATTAATATTGAATAGGTTGGTTAAAATAGTCGTCGTGTAAGGCATCCGAAACTATCTGTTGACGACTGTCGACTGTTCTGTTGTACCTACGTTTGTTACGTAAACGTGATAAACGAATTTATTTATCTAATCTAATCGTTTCGTTTACGAGCTTAGGAAATGGAAAGTACAGATTACAATATCTTACGATATACTCCAATAATAAGTTAAAAATAGTTTCAAATTATCAATAATTTTTTTGGAAAGTGAAGTAAAAATTATGAATTATATTTTAAATTGGCGTGTCACTGTAATAATACGCGCGTGTCACTCCGTGACACGCGTGACACAGGTTCGCCATCCCTGGAGATTATGTATAAAAAATTATTACAATTTTATATTAACAAATATAATATAATTTTAATAATGAAATACATGTGATATCTGGTTTGCATCGTTGTCATAGCCGACCGAAGTAAATATTAATAGTACAGTAATAGGTATTTGATATAAATATTTATCAATTTTAAAGATTTATTTGAAATATTGAGATTGTAGTTTGAGTTTTTATTCCAATAGTTTTAACGAGTCTTATTTTTTAATCAAAATATATGTCGGACGGCGAGGATAAAAAAATTGTGCAAATTTACGAAAAGCCAAAGCAACGAAAAATGTTTAAGCCCATAACAAATTATTGTATATTGGCCGCGTACTTCCGGTCGGGAGAGCCTGTCAACGGACGCACCGTGTACCCTCGGGAACAACCCCCGACCAACGAGAACGAACGAAACAATGATAAGTCCGCCGTGGACGAGGCTAACACCAGCGAACTGTTTCACGTGAAAGAAAAAATGAATGAGTATGAAGCATGCGTTTTGTATAGAAACCAGATGGGGTTCTGGTAATAGTATCACTCAAATAAACTCAAATAAAAATAAAATTCAAAATAATAAGAATATTTATTTTAATATAAAGGTGATTATTGTTTTGACGCACAATCAAAATTAATAATTATATAATATTAGTACTATTATACCTGCAGTTGTAGGTTATAAAATACAAAACCCTTTCTAACATGAATGTATAGTTGTTTAACGTAGTAGGAATTATATTTTATTGACGTTGCGAAAATTCTAATGCGGTATAAATGCTCGTCGAATGACGAAATACGTCTTATATACGTCTTGTATGGTACTGTTACATTATATTGTAATAATATGATAAATAAAAGACTTCAGCAGTACACATTATACATAAAGGACGAGACCTAAGTATAAATGCGTTAGTTCAGAGTTCAAACGTTTGTTGAATTTATATTATATATTTATATTTAGGTATTATCTAAAGAGTTCGAATATTCTACACCGTAGCTGTATACATACGTGTAAAAGGATACGCATTTATACAGGATACATACTTGCCTTATTCATCCACCTTTGAAATCGTTAATAAAATGTCGAATAACTCAAAAGATTGTATTTTCAGACAAAAAAAATGTTGGCTCTGAAAGATAATCGATTTTTAAGGACTTGCAAATGGCTCCAGGCAGGTCCTTTGAATTCAAACTTTCGGGAAAACGATATATAATACTATAATATACCATCATATACCATAATAACATAATCTGTAAATTTCTCTCATAGACAAATAGTGTTTTCGTAAACTATACATTATTCGGCAATTTGGGCTTGGAATTTTAATTTTCAGGTTAGGTAGTCTATTATAATATGTTGCAGACCGTAATAGAAAATATAATACTCTTATAAACTTGATGTACGGCTTTCAGGCACTGCCAATATCTATAAGATTTAAAAGTTAAATTAAAATTTCAATTTTAAAGTACTATGAGTACAAATAATAATTAGTTATTCAGTTATATGAAAAATAGTGAATATTGATTTTTAAACATTAAGTTTTTTTAATACACGCATGTTGAATAGTTTATTATTAATTAATTAATTAGTTATAATTAACGCCAACTGGCAATAACAATAATTTAGATTAATATAAACATATTATATAACTTAAATTTTAAATAGGTTGTAGGCATAGTATAATAATTAGAATATTAGATTAGATTGAAGGGCAATAAAAGGTTAAATAATTTGTATTGTATTATTTCTTTATTAGGTTATTAAAATGTTTAGCCCAAAAATACAATAGTGAACTATAGACGGGCTTATATCGATTGCGCCGAAATTACCTTTTTACCTGTAAAAAATCTATCGATTACGCCGCTATCAACTCTGCCGAACTTTTTTACATATTGATTCCGCCGGTTATCGATTACCCCGAACTTCTTTACTTTATACAGTAATAAAAACATTTAAAAGAAATGTTTACATTTATGTTAAAATATATTTCATTTCATTAGTAGGTACACACTATAACTTACTGTAATTTGTATTTAACTCGTAACAAAATAAGTTGAAGTAGAATAATACACGAACAATGAACATATAAATTGAACTTTAAACTGTTCAACTTATCTATAACATAATACTATAGGTACACAGCTATATTTATTCCAGTGGAAATCGCGTATTATCGCAACGGACAACAGTTTTTATATCTTAATCAATATAATCTATAAAAGGTTTATGAAAAAAAATATATTTTCTTTCATGTAGGTACCTATATACACCTACATACAATCAAAGTAAGTACAAGTCTTATCGATCATAATTCATCATCTTAAATATTGATCACTATGTTCTGCAGTGTTCAAATAATAGACATTTAGTGACCGTTGAAGTATTGTGCGCGTCTTGTGCGCGTCTTGTGAGCGTCTTGTGTTACACCGTGTCAAAATTAATTTTGAAATTGTTTATAGTGTACGGAAATATCAATTAATCTTATATAAAAAAATTTTAATTTTATAACAAAGCGTAGGTATGTTAAATACTTAGACGCTAATAAATGGCAATGTGTCAATAAAAAGTGCACCTTAAAAACGAATGTTGATCTTGACATGAAGATGACTAAGTGTACCCTAACCTATACTATTAATTAAAAACAATTCTGTATAATATGATACTTTGGTTATTGTTTAATAAACAGTCGGATGAATCAACATAAATAAATAACTGGCGGAATCGATAATCGGCGGAATCAATATAAACAAAAATCCGGCGGAATCGATAGCCGGCGGAATTGATATTAAAACGGCGGAGTCGATAAAACCCCCTATAGACTCACTGAGTACTATAGGCTATAGCATACAATTTTTAAATGTTATAATTATTTACCGAAACCTATAAACCTCTCTAAACTCATGCTGGAACTACAATACACCTCATGGCTATAAAGAATGATATATAAGTACCTACGTACATAGTGAACCAATTTCGATAGGTAAGACATTTGTTACCTTTCTCTCTTTCCTCTTTATTGGATTTTACGAGTGATTTAGATGCCGAAACAACCAATTGCCAACACCCACCTCTATCTTGAGCCAGTTCTTCTTCATTGTTTACTCCCGACCTCGATGCATCTTTGGTGATCCTGTATTTCCATTGTTGTTAGCAATTGTCGTCCTCTCAGCCTTTCTGTGTTTGGTTTCCAACTATTGTGTCCTTTAAAACAAGACATTTTACCTAGTTAATTTAAACTTTGTAACTCGGTATATAATTGATTAGTTAGGTAGGTAGATTAAAACAGTGAACATTTTTTGAATGTAGTGTTATAATAAAAATGATCAATATTTTAGTAAAAAAAAAAACTATTTGTTTGACTTTAGAACACATTAGTCACTGAGGCCAACCATCTAGCCACACTAAGCCCCGACTATAGGTATATTTAACACAGATACCTATATTTTCTTGGCTTTGTAACAATTAAAATATAATATAATTAGGTGTTTATTCCTTTTAATATTAAATAAACTAACCGCGATTGTAAATTAAATAACTATATTAAATGCATTTTTGAGTTCGTAATAACCACATACTATCGTTAGGTACCTATATTAACACACTATATCTAGTATCTACATCATACTATAAAAGTGCATAATAGTATATTGTTAGCTTACAAACTAGTTGCATTATTTATAATATAATATTATATGCAGTGTTCAAAAGCTCATTAAAACTATAGCAATAATTTAGGTAAAAGCTCGAGGTATGGCATAATGACTGATATGGTTTGAATTATTTTTTTACTTAATCTCATTATACTTGTAAATAACAATCTCACATCTACTGTTTTATCAGAGATTTTTGTTCTTTTGTTTGAAATAGACTTCAAACTGGTAATCGAGTTTTTTTATTAAAAATGTTCAAAGAACTTCTTAACTATCTTTAATTGATTTATACTTTGAAATGAGTTTTTCAAAGTTCATACAACTATGGTAGATTGAGATTACCTTGGTGTACCTTGTGCAAATAGTGTTTTCATTGTAAATTATTGCAATTTTTGCTTTTCTACTATAGTACAATATTACGTTCTGGCTGGTTCAAAAAAAAAAAATAAAAAAATATAAACTATACTTATTTCACTGAACTTATAATCTTGTGTCCAGGTTAGAAAAATGGATAAGATATAACCAATTCAAACAAATCGTACATTTATGTATAGTATTACAATATATCAATTGGCTTTTCTATTATGTATTGTAGGTAATAATACATTTACATATACATTCATTATACCGAACGACAAAAGTGCAATAACATTGTTTATAATCGTTCCATGCATGAATATATTATTAATTATTAACATGATCTAATTTTACAGTGTTTGATGTACCTAATAATCTAGGTACGCATTATCGCCACGCGTAAGTATCTACCTATATTACGAGGGGTAAACCACTATGCTAATCAGTGTACAACATTTTGATAATCATGATAATCTTAAGATAACCATGTGATAATCATGATAATCATATGATAATCTTTGTTAATCACACAGATTTCTATATAATAATATAATATAGATATCTATTATGTGGTTAATCATAATTAAATTTTGATTATCATACGTTTATAGGAATTTTACTGTCATATGAACCCATGAACTTAATATGTACCATGGATGAATTGTGGGATAAAAATCCCCGGGAACAAAAAACCGCCAATGGACGACCCAGGAAAAAAAATCCCTGACTCTAGGGCAGTGGTGGACAAACTTTTTTAATGGAGGGCCACATTGTTTAAGAAATTCTAAAGAAGGGCCAAAATTATAGAAAAAAAAAATACATTTTGTCTTAAAGCTTTGAATCATATAATATTATAAAAACATTACAGCATTACACACAAATGTTCGAATTTTCTTTTACCTTAAAATTTAAATAATAATTAATTTAACTTTTATTCAAAGGCTCAACCATGGTAGGCGTCTGAGACATATTATGGAATTGTTTTTGATCTTCCATAATATTTTCGAAAGCAGGTTCCATCTGTAACGAAGCAACTTTCAACAGTGCGAAAAGGTGTTCATCAGTTAATCGGTTTCTGATTGAGTTTTTCCGCAATTTCATGGTCGAAAAAGTCTTTTCGCACACATAAGACGACGCAAACATCGCCATAATTTTCTGGGCTTGAGCAATTATCTTTGGGAATTCAGCTTTCGGAAGTGCTCTATAAAAATCTAGTTTTGTGTAATTCAAAAACAATTGCTTCAAATGGGTACTGCACTGCATTTCAATAATTTCCAACTGCAATTCTGCAGCTACATTTTCCGGATCTACATTAAACGGCATCGAGAAAACATCTAGTGATTATTGAATGTTCTTAAAATCTTGAAACCTAGTTTGAAATTCCGTGTGAAGCTTTTTCAACGCCTGACTGAATTCTTTTAATTTATTCTCACTCACTGGTGACATGGATTTTAAACGCAGAAAGTGAGTTAAATCGTCCATCGCCATTTTAAATAATTTCAGACAACCCCAAGTCTCATAGTACCTACTATCTACCTTTTTTTTTTTTTTACATGGTATCGGGACATAGGGTGGTACCAACCTTTCGGTTTCATTTATTTCAAAGAACATCACAAAACGTTGGTCACTCACAGGGACAATCCCCCTGCTTGTGACCTTACAAATTTAATTTTTACAAATTTGGAGGGCTCTATCCCCTCGATTTTCACTTTCAGTGCACATTTAACTTAACTAATGTTTTTCTGATGCTCTTCCTTCTGACCTTTGTTTTCACACTCAGGTTGCAGTCCGTCGCCCAGTTCTAGCCTCTTGTGCTGCTTTACATCTCCCGCTGCCAGGATAGTATGAACCATCGTGACCGTTGTCCTTGCAGAGAACGCATCTGGGTGGGCTGCTGCAGCTCTTCGCCTCATGGTCGCCGTTCCCACATGTCATGCAGAGGTTAGAGCGGTCCGCTCCTGAACACTTCTCCCTGATGTGTCCAAAATCGTGACATCTAAAGCACCTTACTATTTGTTGGGTAAGTTTAACTCGGCACCGTACCAGGCCCACTGTTAGTCTTAAAATTCTTCCAAGTTCGATTGCTTCTCTGTCTCTCAGCCTTACCACAGCCATCTTGGTACCCCCGAATGAAGGAAGTAGCTTGATGGAGTTAGGGGAAACGTCTGTCGCTTTGACGACCGCGTTTTTTACTTCGTCTTCTGAGGTTTCCTACTCTAGGTCTTTTATCTCGACCGTGGCGGATTTCGGCTTGAATTCGACTACTGCTTCTTCCCCCAGGACCTCAACTATCGCGGTTTTTAGTCTCTTTGCTGCTTTGCTTCGGGCCTCTATCTATTTGCAATATGAGGTCCCCTCTTCCGTTTTTTTCATCGTTTTAATGTCAACGTTGAGTTTGTTGACGTCAATGTTTCCCTTCAATTTCCTCGTGATGTCAGCGTAGCTAGAAACTCTGGAGGATTTAATGAGTATGGTTTCAGTCTTCTTTTTTCCTTTGAACGTTCTTTTTCGGGATTCTTCTTTCTGGTTTCCACTCTTGGTTTCTGATCTTATGTTTTTTGGATCGTCGATGGTCTTCATTTTTGTCTTCTTCTTCTTCTCATTAGTTGTCTTTAAGTGGCGTTGTCTGCCATGCCCTTGGTTCGTGCCGGTTTTGCTGCTGGTCTGCTGTCCAGTATCCTGTTCATCGCTACTTCTTGGTTTCAGAACAGCCTCAGTTTCCGTGCCGACTCCTATGTCAACTGTTGGCACTGCCCTTAGGCTATGCGTAGTGCTGGCTTCTAGGAGGCTAGAAGACAAATCTTCAATTCTGTCCGATGATTTGTCGACAAAGGACTTCAATGCTTCGCTTCTTTTTTGAACTATGCCAATTTGTTTATGCAACTCAATGCACCAGCCTTTCATCTCCTTGTGTAAATTTTTCGTTGCCAGGGAAAAGGTGTACATTTTTTCCACCACAGTTGCGAGTTTTCCGACCCTTGAGTCCAGGTTACCCCAGTACTCAAATAGCCAGCTGGAGAGATCTTCATTAGTTATATCCTCTTCGGGTTTTTCAAAACACATATCTTCATAATCAATCTTCATTCCGGGTTCCAGTTTTCCAGTCTTTTTGCCAGTTATGGACGGCCCCCCCTGAATCCGCGGGGCCCTTGGTCAGGGGTACAGTCTTGGCGTCTTTATCCATGTTTGATTTTTATGGAAAATTCTAACCAGCGTTTTAGCCCTGCCGCCAGGGGGATTTACAGCTTCCTTCTGGGACCGTTTGCTAGCGTAAATACCTGCCATACCTGCCACCCCAACCAGTTAAGGTCAGAGGCGGCTCTGGAGGCTCCAGCCCCGACTAATTAAAGTAAGAGCCGGAGAGTTGGGTACCTCTTAGCACCGAGTGAAGTCGGTGAGCCCCCCACCACGGCAAGGTGGGTCCCGTCGGGGGGACCTACTATATACCTACATCACGCTATGAGGGTACGACCACTCACAGTCCACGCCAATCCATTTATATAGGTATTTAAAACTATTTTCTTCGATCATTTTCAGAATATTTCTGGAATTTTTTTATACTGTACTTTTATACTATACGGGCCATATACTATCCGTGTCGATGGACCCTCGGCGGGCCGGATGAAATTCTTTCGCGGGCCGTACTTTGCCCATCACTGCTCTAGGGAAAAAATCTTGAGACTACAACATTACTTTTATCTTATCAATTAAATGCAACAGAAATCGATGAATAAAAAAAATGTTAGGTACATTGAAAATACGTCTAGATTAATTAATCTTAAAGTTATTTACAATAGAATTTCAAGACTCCCCAAAGTACGGCCGTTTGACGGTATATTATAATACAATATTATACTATATTATAATATCATTCAAAAAATATTACTATAAATAATTTTCGAAAAATTAACAATAAATATTTTATTATTATTACTACTACCTATATTTTGTACAATATTTTTGTATACCTACTATCGAGCCTACTATGTTTTGTACTGTATTATTTGGTTTACTACCAAAAAGTCTGAGGTAAAAAAGTACTTGGAAAAAAAGTCCGAGTAAAAAAGTCCGTGGTTAAAAAGTCAACGGTGAAAAAGTCCGGTGCATATAATTAGGTAAAAGGAAAAAAACCATGCGATGAACAATCAAACTTAAAATTAGTATTAATACAAATGTTATTGTAACTAAATTATTTGTACTACCTAACAAAATTAATTTTTTTTTTGACGACAGTTCGTTAATTAAACTGATAAGACGTCATAATACTAGTTAAATATTATAATTATTGCATTTTTTTGTTAAATATATTATATTTTGTATGGCGATAGTTAATACTCAATTTAATATATTAGGTATTTTGATTTTTTTTTTTATAGGTCATGATACTATAAGTACATAATTATTATAATCATTGATTTTTATTTAAAAGTACCTATATTATATTTTATATCAAGATAGTTAATTTAATTAAGAAATCATTATAATATATTATGGATATTTAATATGTATGTAATAATTATTTCCATTTTTTTATATAGGTTATGATACTAAGTACATAATGTACATAATTATAATTTATTTATAGATCAGTTTCATTTAAGTATAAAAGAGGAAAACGGGCTACGGGACCTATGTATATTTTTTTTAAAAATGTATACAACAATTATGACACTGATGTTTCTAAAACAGTTCTGAAAAAATTCTGTGGAAATTTATGGCGTATTTGTCTGATGAAGCAATAGGTTTTTCATATTTTGATAATAATGTATCTGCCGATTTAAAAAAAAGATGGTTAAAGCTTTAACTTCACACCATGGCTCAGATGAAATAATGAAAAAACTATCAATTAAACCTCATGAAGTGTCATCTTTAGTTACAAAGGATTTGAGTCATTTCGTAACGAAAAATTCAAAAATATTTTTCGAATGTTTCGGTATTGATATACATTTTTTACATGACGAACGGGAAGAATGGATTAACAACAATGCGTATAATGAAGTAGCAAATATTGTAGCCCGTATTAATGTTGTTATTGATGCGGCAGAAAGATGAGTAAAGCTAGTTGAAGAATACAACAGCACAGGCAATATTTTTACGTGCACCACGACACACAATGTGCACTACGAATGTACAAGTGTGCAATACGATTTGTGTGTGTGCAGTACGGTCTACAAATAAAAAATTAAACAATATATACCAGCTACTAGGAAATATGAGTATTTCCTGATTTTTTTTTAAATTTAAATTTAATTTAATTATAATTATTTTTATCAATTTTCAAACATTGTTATCTGTTAAAATATTTTTTGTTGATGAAAAAAATGATAATTCTAGTTATGGGAAAATAACCTCCCGAACTCCACCTGTTGTATAAAGGGCGGTTTCCACTATACACGTCCGCGTTCACGTGCATACAAATTCTTTGCTGTGATTGGTTGATTATGTTAAGTTACCATAAGATTAACCACGATACCGTGTTGTTGGACATAGCTAAACATTTTTCGTGTACCCGGCAAACGTGTATAGTGGAAACCCACCTTTACATTTCGTGGTTAACCCCCCACCAAAATTGTGTTATTAAATATTAATAATTTTAAAAATATATTTTATCAGTTTAAGCTACATTATAAAATTTTTATATAGGTAGTACATTTTATTTTAGATATAATATATAAACATTTTTAGTTTTTAAAATATTCACGGAAATGTGAAAAAAGACAGTTTTTATTCTAAGGTAGGTACATTATATCTCACCAAAAATTGAAGGTATTAAACAAATTAATTATCTATAATTATAGAACAAACCTTTTTGTAAATGTAGTTTTATTTAATTTAGTATTTATAGTAAATTTCAATTTGACCAACGGTGTATGACATAAGAACAAAAACTTCAACAATTTTGAAAAATTTAAAAGTTTAACTTTAAGTTCAAATACCTAGGCACGGGATAACTTTGTTCGATTGATTCAATATTTCATGTAGTTAATTTTTGTATGTACCTGTACAAAAACAGTGTTTTAGAATATAAGATGAAAAAAAAATTGGTTTTTTTTCCATCTATAGTTAAGGACCACCCTAGTGTATAACCATTAGGTATATAATTGGAACATCTGATAATTAATATCCAAACATCATTTTTCATCATTCAATCCTCAAAACAGTATCGTACACGGTGATGACGGCTATGATATTATATAGATATGCTTATACCTATAATATTATATTTGTTCAACAACAACTAATTTAGTATAAACTGGACAATTAAACTCGACCATAAAAATATAAAATTCATTATAATTTAAATTTAAATTTAAATATTTATACATAGATACCAAGATACCAAAAAGCGTTAATTATTTTGGTCGGGATACGGGAATAGGTTTTGGTTATAAAAGAGGGTTTGAAAATAAAGATAACCGCTTCGATGTTAATACTTAGATATTTATCTTGACGACCGGTAATCAATATGCACTTGCAGCATTAATAAAATAAAAGCGGTTATCGGTTTTTAGTAATCAATTTTTTACATTTCTACCGGTTATTGTTACAAAACATAATATTGCTTTAAGAATCATAGGTAGAAATTGAAACTTTTTTGTAGGAAACTCACAGAAAAATATTCTATTCAAAAAATACAACATGTAATGTTAATAATAATTTGTTCAGTATAACCACTCATATGTGAAACTATAATTAGCCATTTGTCGTAAACTCAGTACCTATATAGGTCGTATTATTGTTGTTTATATAACTTATTTATCACCTGAATAAATAATAATAAGTATGAAAATTTAACACGGCTCTACAGTCTACGTTTTTAATTTTTAAACTTGTTATACTTTAAAATATCTTTAACACTGAATATTTTCAAATGTCGAGGCATGTATAGGTATGGAAAACGCAGTTAGAAAGTTGAGTTAGAAAAAAGAATAAAAGCTTTTATTAATCCAGAAAACAATTATGTACGACCCCAGTTTCCTAGCTCTTATACGTCATATTCTATGAGAATAATGTAATACTATTTTACAAATGTAAATCAAAAATCCAACAATTAATTACATTGCTTGGTTATGATTTCGATTCATAGGTATGAAAAAAAAGCTATTTAATGGATGGCACAGTTTTGACCAAACACTGCAAAACCAAGAAAAGACTCGATTTTATGCTGTAAAATATAAAATATACACAATATATAAAAAAATTGATTCAATGCTTGTTTTTTTAAAAAATAAGTATAATACATATGAAAAATATATTATTTTTCAAGATCCAACCCACCTAAAAATGTTGAAAATCCGACACTGCTTATTAATGCAGAAATGATAAATTGTCAGCCAAGGATATTTATTATTATATAATCATAATACAATATTGTTAATTAGTAATTATTGGTAGTTTGTATTCATTTTCCAAAACACATTACTTTTGCGTGCCTATTATCATTGATTATAGTAATATCATAGATTGCAATTGTTGACGATGTTGACGAATCATATAGGTACTTTTTGGAAGTCTGGGAAATGTTATGATTTTTTTTAACTCAGTTAGGTTAAGTTAATATACACAAATAACAAAAAAATTCAAATTTTAAAGTTAATTTAATAATAGGTCAACCCAGTTAAATTAAAAGTAATAACACACACTTTTTGTTAACTTTTTATTAAGTTAAAAAAAAGTTGGTATTTTTAGATGACGATAGAGTACATATTTAATTTTTTTCCAACCCAGAACTAAATTATAAACTATAGTGTTTATACTTTATATAGTATTTCCATATAAGTTTGATAGGAAAAATATACAATTTTTAAATTTAAACAACTCACGGTAAATATTTTTTGACATGAAAACGAAATAGAATGAAATATTGAAATGTAAAAAAATTAAAAACAAATTAAGCAGTGTCAGATTTTCAACATGTTTATGTTATTGGGGTATTGGCTATACTGAAAAAAATTATGTTAAGGGGATTCGATTCAGCGTATTTATTTCATGATTTAGACCTAAAAGCCTGACAAAAATACGCCTACTTAGAATTATCAGATTTTAATTCTGTAAAAAGATTCGAGTTCATTGACAATTTTCCTAGGTTATTGTGGGAATCAATTTTCGATATTTTTTTTAGAATTCACGTTACATCATACTTCGATTTCTTAATTTTTTGAAAATTGTTTGTGTCTTTCTTTAAAAAGTTAAACAGTTATTCAAAAATCGACTCCCACAATAACTTAGAAAAAAGAACGATGAATTCAAATATGTTTACAGAACTAAAATCCGATCATTCTAAGTTATCGTATTTTTGTCAGGCTTTTAGGTCTCAATTGATTGAAATTAGTTTCTCGTTGGAACAAATATTTTATTATGTGACATGTGCATGCGGGTGCGAACCACTGATTCCGAACGTATCTACGCACACTAATGATCATTTACTTCGCACACAAACACACTGCAAAACGACTATAATACATCGAATTGCCTATACACGACCCCTTATTAAATCACCGGATCGAATCCCCTTAATCAAATGTATTATTCTTATTTTTATTATTATTGAGTCTATTTTTTTTTATATTATATTATTATGTGTATTTTATATTTTACAAAATAAAATCGAGTCTTCTTTTGGTTTTTCAAAGTTCGGTCAAGACTTCCTAATTGCGTCATCCATTAAACAGGTTGTTTTTATCCCTATGAATCGAAATCATGACCGAGCAGTTCAATATTTTTTATTAAATAATTATTTTTTTGGTAAAATAAAAAATTTTCTTTCTGAATATATATATAAGACTTATTAAACTGTGGTCGTAGCCGTGGTATTTTTTCTGGATTGATTAAATATTTTATTCTTTTTGTAACTCATTAGGTATGCTTTTTCCATACCCATATCTCGACTTAAACGTAAACGTAAAAAAATTTATCTGACAATTGTATATTATTAGTAGCATTTCAGGTATTTGTAAATAATATACCTGTTATTCGTATAAAACTACATTCAAATGCCTACTTAATTTATCAGTCATACATAATATGTTCGGTAAGACATAATATTTTAAAATTGTGATGTATCACGTATATGAAGCATTATACAATTATGTTGTTATATAATATTATGAGAACATTATATTATTATGTTTTTTGGCATGTTTTTGGATAGTTTTTCATATTTAACTATCTAACCTACATTAACTACACTAACTAACAATTAATTTGAAAATATTTAGTAATATTTTATTGTAATCGATCGAATAAAGTGATAAAACTAAAAATCTAATGCTGTTAAAATATGTTCATACTAATTATTTACTCAGGTAATGAAAGAAACAATAACGAACAAAGAAGGTGTGTAAGACAAATGCCGAATTATTGTTTCATTACTTAATCAATAAAGTATTATGAATTTTGAGGTTATTTCATTTTCCAAAACAGAATATTTTTTGGTATATTTCATACACAAATTTGAAAATTGAACTATTATAAAGTTATACATTTTAAAATTTTTTATAAGTGGAATAAAATAGCACAGTGCTAGCTTTATCTATATATTATATAAATACCCTTCTTAAAAACTCTAAATTCCTTTAATTATATTTTAATATACCTAAAATAACATATTGTTTTTTTAAGTTACAACACTTGAAAATATATTAAACATTTTCTCAGGAGTTTTTCATACCTTAGTTGAACAATATAGACGTTATTGACATAGTCACATTTTTTTTTTTATTATAGCGTTTATAGACGTATAGTTAACGTTTTTACAAAATACCAAAATTAGTTAATTTTAGTACTTCATAAAACGTTTAATTCGTAGTTAACACAAACAAGTTTGAAGCTCATTCTGCTTGAGTGCTGAATTCCCAGTTCTTAAACATATTTTGATATACTGTAATATACTATAATTCCATGAGCAATTTAAAAATAATTTGGTAACCTTTATGGCTTTATAGTACCATTGCTTTTTAATATAATTGTCTATAGCATAAATCTAAATTAAATGCTCAAATGTTGATTATTTTTTTAATACGTTATTTAATACAGTATAATATGTATAATTGACAAATAGATACTACATTTTAGAAATGTTGGAAATATTAAGTAAGAAAGATTTGAATATTTGATAAAAGAAAAAAATAAAAAGTTCACAATATTTGCTGTTGATGTTTAGATACTTTATCCTGTACCTATATTTTTAGATGAAAATAAGTAACAACGTTGGCTAATTGTATTCTTTTATAATACGATCAATGTCCATGTACGTAAACTAAACGTACTCAAAATATTAATTTAAATTAGTTATTTTATTGGATGGTGAATTTCATGACTTTTGTCTACAAGAAATTTGGATGTTTCAAAAAGTATATGGCTCATTGTAAATAATTGCAATAATTCAATTTGAAACTTGATAAGAATAGTGAATAGTTCAAAGACTTAGCTATAAAATGTTATCTCTACTTTTAGAGCTGTATTTTTATACTTGGTGTTTTTTTAAACGGAGTTTGATGGATGGTTTTTGTTGGAATATCACTCATTTTTTGTTGATAATTTATTATTTGTAAGTCATTTAACGTGACTAGAAATAAGTAATAATTTGATTTAAGATAGAATATTATTAAGTAATAACTTTTTTAAACACTTCAATTTATTATGGTAGGTAGTTACAACTTACAGGAGATTAATTTTGAATTCGAAACCGGTTGTTAAAATATATAAACCAATCAAGGCTACTCTTTGTTTATTTAAATATACTATTCTATATTATACTAATAATTATTTATAATAACTTATTATAAATCTTAAGAGTTTGTTTGTTTGTTTGAACGTGCTAATCTCGGGAACTACTGGTTCGAATTGAAAAATTATGTTTGTCCACAAATGATAGTCTAATTTTTGATGACGACTTTAAGGACATATTATTATAACGTCAATTTACAACCAATATAGAGGAGACCGGGAGGTTCCCAGGCAGGGATTTTGAGGTTTGAAATGTTTGTTTATAAATGGTTGAAATAGAATTTATTTATTATTGGTTGATATTACTGTAAAAGTGTAAAAGCATCCATCAAATTGAATTTTCGCACATTTCCTACCAAAATGGCTGAGTTACACTTACTACAGTGAGTTACACACAAAAGGAGTTGAACAATCACAATTTTTTTAAATGTTTTCACTTTTTGAGGGCCACGTGAAGTGCCTGGGATCAGCTAGTATAATATTATATTTTACAATATTTGTAACTGTTAAGACATCCAACCAATCTGCTTGCGAGTTCCCCCATGTAATAAAAACAACAAAATATGTAAAAAACAAAAATTTATAAATTAATAATTTATTAAATTAACACCAACAAAATCGCTAAATAAGCGCTAAAAATATGCAATACAAATAACAAAATATATGGAAAAAACTGGAAGTTTATTAATTAACTAGCTGATCCCGTTGCCCATTAAAAATAAAAATTCTTTACGAATAATATATTTTATATAATAATATAGTTCGTGTCTGGTGTCCGTAGAGACCACACGTCTTTCGCGCACCGTTTTATAGCTCTCGATAGCACTAACAATTTTACAAATTATCTAACAGTTTATCGACTCTTTCACCAGGTATGTACATTGAATTATCATATAAGGTATAAAGTGCACCAATTTAATTAACGGTATCCAGATAACATTCCGCCTACGGGCGATAAGCCCGCAAACACGCACGCAAACAATTAACACTATTTAAAATGGTCAAACCATCAAATAACTCTAAAACAAATGTTACGGAGAGACGAAAGGTCCCACCACTCACAATTAAAAAATGCAGAATAACGACAGAACATGACTCCCAGTCAGAATCCCCATCTCCGTCTACTAAATCAGATGACGAATTTAGGCCACAAAGAAAAACCATGTCAGTCAGAGAACCAAAAAAAAAACACTTTCTTCTCCACACCTAATCGTTACTCACCATTAGAAACATCCATAACGAACCAGAATGAAATAATCAACAACAATGCGATTTCAACATCAAACAACAGTAGCAACCTCAAACCCGATACCCACATGGATACGGAGGCAACTCAAACGAAAATTAATGAAGATAACATTACTCCGAAAATACCACCATTTTTCGTCATAAATAAAACACAATTCACAGAATTCCGCCAAGCAATATCAGAGACGATATTGAACGGTTTTACCGCCAAAACTAGAGCAAACAAAATAAAAATTAAAGTAGAAACAATGGACGACTTCCGAGCACTTACCAAATTCCTTGATTTTAAAAAATACGAATACTACACATATAGACTAAAAGACGAAAAAGAGATATCGGCAATAATAAGGAACCTCCCACTGTCAATTAACGAAGCGGAAATTATGGAAGAATTAACTGAATTTAAATTCCCAGTCAAATCTGTGACAAGACTAACCAGTTAAGATAAAAACCCACCCCCACTAATAGCAGTTCAGCCCCATATCCCAAGACATCTTCAAACTTGATAAGCTTTTTAACTGTATTATTATCACGGAACAACGCAGAAAACCCGAAGACCCCCCCCCAATGCACAAACTGTCAGAGATACGGACATATCCACAAATCCTGCAAACTCAATCCAAGATTCGTAAAATGCGATGGTCCACACCACTACACTAACTGCAATAAAAGAACTGAAGAGCCTCCAACATGTGTAAACTGCAATGAATCACATCCCGCGAATTACAAAGGATGTAAATACTTCAAAAATATATTGACCAAAAATCTACTAATGCCCAAAAATACACCCGAACCGAAAGCCAACCACTAAAAACCATAAAAACCGTAATAAAACAAATTAACACTATCAACCAACCCCCAGAAACATCGAACAAAACCTCGTATGCAGATATTGCTAAAGGAAAATCAACATCCTCCCATATGTAAGTAAATATAACAAACAATGGGCTATCTAATGATCACCTACAAAAAACCATACAGGACTTTATCGAAAACATACAAACTATTATAACCTCCATCTTTAACTCAATCACAAACCAACTATCAGTCGAAAAAACAAACGTTATTAATAATATTAATAACGTCAATAATTAACATGCACGAAACCAAATTTGTTAACTGGAATGCCAACGGAAATATTGTTATCGGAAATAATAGTACTTGAAAACAAACAATACACAACAGCAGTTTTCCTAGATTTAACACAGGCCTTCGACAAAGTCTGACATAAAGGAATAGTAAAAAAGCTAAAAGCACTAGATCTCCCAGCATACCTATTTAAAACCATAGTATCATTCATATCAGACAGAACTTTCCAAGTTAGAATAGACACTGACTTATCACTAAGACACAAAATAAAATCTGGTGTCCCACAAGGATCAGTCTTGGGGCCAACCCTCTTCAATATCTACTGCTATGATATTCCCAATCCTTCCAACTTTCAACTCAAATTTTCGCTGATGATACGAAAATCCTTACACAAGACAGCTCTATAATAGACTCATCGATACAAAAACTTCAATCCTCATTGAATGAAATCACTTCCTGGATCCAAAAATGGAAGCTGAACCTCAACCCAACTAAAAACGTGGCTAAAATATTCACTCTTAAAAGATACAAAGATCCTGAAAGCATCTACATCAATAACCATGCCTTTCAGTGGAACAGAAACGATGACTCGGTAAAATATCTTGGCGTTTTTCTCGATGAAAAACTCTCATGGAACATCCACATAAATAAAAAACTCACACAGGGCTATGCCAAAACGAGAATGCTCTACCCCTTAATAAATTTTAAATTTACACTTCAGATAAAATCGTCACTCCTTCTGTACACATCAATAATAAGGCCTTTGATATCCTACGCCTGTCCTATATGGGCAGCCGCGTCACCTACAAAAATAAAAAAGCTAAAAATTTTACAAAACAAATTTTTGAGGATTTGCCTTACAGGTCCGTGGTTTATGAGAAACAGTCAAGTCCACAATGACACAGGTATACCCTTCATTAGTAAATGGATAATGATGCAACTCCAAAACTTTGTAACGGAGTAGCCATCACCACATAAAAACGGTCCTTTTCAGGACCACCAATCAGCGGACAGTATGCTAGCACAAGCCACACACACTAACGTTAGGGACAATAACTAAGCCCCAAGTAACAGCACAACAAAAACAATAAGAGTTACATATAGGGGAGAGTCAGACGAATCTAACGACACCCTCCCCAAGTCAATAACCCCAAAATTGAATAAACCACAGGACTTCCCGTACAACTAGTAAACACTACTATACACGGCGGCAGCGAATAGTTTACTAGTCGGTACGGCAGACTGCTTATATACCGGACATTTCCACACCATCGACACAGTCTTCAATATCTCTTCATACCTTCAACAACTACAACAAAACGAAGAAACGAAGACTCGAAGACCCGAAGACCCGTAGCTGAAACTACTAATTACACCGATACGGCGGCGAATACGTTCAACATCCGAGGCGGCAATCGACGAGCGCTGCGTTCCTGACCACCGCTACGAACGAAACCATCGACACAGCGACGAATACACTCGTTGTACGGGGCAGCAATCGACGACCACGACGTATTCGTATTACGCCACGGACAACATCATCACCGTAGCGGCGAAGCGCCTATTGTACGACGCGGCAACCGACGAGTGGCATACTCCCATTCACACCACGGACGGAATCATACGCACCGCGGGGAAGATACTCGTCATACGAGGCGGCAATCGACGGGCATACAGTTCCTGATTACCCCGTCGTCGACATAATAATATCGGCGAACACGCAAATCATCATCAGCGTTACGAACGCGTCCACGGTCGATCTATCAAAACGGTTCTTATCAGAACCAACAATCTAACCACCCACCCTCAGTGTGCCTGCTAAGGCATCACTGCGAGGCGTTATTACTCGAACACGACTTACCAAAGCCCGTGGGAGAGTGATTCCAACTCAATCCATTCATTGTTATATAATTACTCTTATATGAAGTTATAAATCCCCGACATTTGTAAATCACTTCGCACCTCTACAGGTCCGATACCGCCCGTTGCGACTCGCTTCTTTAAGCCAGTCGCTCGGCCCGGAAATTAAATACCTTCCCTTAAATATATAATATAATATATCTCAATAAATAAACGAAATTGTACATATATAGACACGCGTGCAATTATTTACGACCACGGGACGTCGGGAATCGACGGACCGTATCAACTTTCACGCCAATCTAAAGAATTCGGACGGAGCCCGTCACTACAACCTAGGGAAAAAAAACACGCAATAGACGTCTGCGACCTTGACTCCCACAGGACATTCTCCAAACGGATAACGAAGATTCATCATCAGAAGACCCATAAAAGAACACACCTATACTTACACTACATATATATATATATTTAACCATAATCCACTCATTCACTCGTTTGTATCAATATAAAGAATCATGTACTTAGTATGATCTAACTCATTATTATAAATAACTACTTGTAATAGCACTCTGTGTGCTTAAACATTTTATAATTAATTAAATAAAAAAAAAAAATTATAATATAACGGTTACCATAAGTCATAACAACAATTTTAAGCCAATTATTATTATAATTGCTTCAAAACCCATGGCCACTATTTATAAACAAATATTTCCATCGAAAATCTCAAAATCCCTATATGAGCACCTCTCGGGGTTGGTCCTCTACTCAAAGGTCTAATCCATCTCTGTATCAAATGATCCCGTGCACTTCGTGGCCCGGCAACCAATAATTATTATTATAATAGCTTCAAAACACATGGTAACCTATTGGGAACCGATGGACATTATCTATGGACATTATCATGACATTATCTATGGACATTATCTATGTGCATTATCTATGGATATTATCTATGGACATTATCTATGGACACACTGACAGATAGACCGACAGACACACATACATTAATTTATCTTTATATATAATTCTACTGTACGTGTGTGTGTAAGCGAACTCCTCCTAAACGGCTGGACTGATTTTGATGAAATTTTTTGTGTGTGCTTTAGTTGGCCCTAGAATGTTTTAGATTGACAATCGAACCCGGTAGGCCCATTCCGTGGAGATGCTCAAACGGGAATGTTCAGATTTATGGTGGATATTTTTGTTTATAAATGGTTGCCATGGGTCTTAAAGCTATTATAATTTATAATAATAATAATAATTACATACATTTATATATAAATGAATGTTTGTCTGTCTGTGTGTCCTTTATACTTTCCTAAGCGGCTGGACCGATGTTGATGAAATTTGGTACAGATATAGATTAAACATCTGGGCAGAAAATAGGCTAAATTAAAAAAGGAGAGGATCAACCCCGGGAGGTGCTCAAAGCCTCAAACAAGGATTTTGAGATTTCCTATGGACATTTTTGTTTATAAATGGTTGCCGTGGGTTTTAAAGCTATTATAATAATAAAAAACATATTATTCATATAGAGTTTTCATTTTTAATAGGCGACAAAGTGCACTGGATCAGCTAGTATATACATATAAATAGGGAGAGAGAGATAGAAGATGGAATACTTTTATCTATATTATCTATGTCTAGATAATTTTAAATTCAGATATCTTATTTATATCTATATAATTTTTTTTTATCTAAGCACAACACTGACGACTGTGTGTATGTATAGGTACATAGAAAAACATTATATTTTATTATTTTATGTTGTTTCGTAGAGATTACGATTATTTATAGTTGTTTTTATCATTTTTTTCTTCTTCTTTTCTCGTACACTCCATTATTTCGGCGCGGTAGCGTTTGTCTGTCATTGTTCCGTTTTGGCATTTACTCTACACTATTATTATTTGTCATCGTAAGCTCCAAGCTCTCCCCCTGTATATATACTATGTATGTGGGCTTATCAGTGGAACATAGAAAACTGCCATTGGTACAGTACAACACAGTACACGCACACACACACACACACACACACACACCTACACACACACACCTACCACACCCTGTGTACAGGGTGGGAAGTATCGTTTTGCCGTGTCGTTATGTGGTCACAAATAATCAGGAATTCGATCACCAACCTGTATGATATGTGCCGAGAAATTTGAGATCATAACGAGTCGTGACGTGAACGGGGAAGGTGGAACTAGTGATAAATTTGAGCTTTAACGTGCGGAAGTTTCATGGTCGAAGACCAACTACGCTCATTGTGCACACACACATGTATATATATTATATACGTCTTTCACACCGTTCCACTGTATGCATGCTCACCCCAAAGACGTTCTTCTTTTTTGCACTAAAAGCCGTATAAAAAATTATCTCTGCTGTTTGGTGGGATTATCGGAAAATTGGATAGTCGTTTTGTGTTTTTATTCATTTTTTGTCAAAAACACGAGCATGTTAGCCGCTGACCTTCTCTAAAACTTAT